AGCCATAGATTGAGTGCTTTTTTTTTTTTTTTTTTACAATTAGGGCCCTAGGGATTCTGGAGCAAGTAAGACAGACTTAGCAGGGCGACGTGACTCACGTCTGTAATCCTAGCACTTTGGGAGGCTGAGGCAGGCAGACCATGAGGTCAGGAGACCGAGACCATCCTGGCTAACACAGTGAAATCCCGTCTCTACTAAAAATATGAAAAATTAGCCGGGCATGGTGGCACACGCCTGTAGTCCCAGCTACTCGGGAGGCTGAGGCAGGAGAATTGCTTGAACTTGGGAGGCGGAGGTTGCAGTGAGCCGAGATCGCACCACTGCACTCCAGCCTGGGTGACAGAGTCAGACTCTATCTCAAAAAGAAAAAAAAGACTCTTTGCTCTCAAAAATATTTTATTTTAGTGGAGGGAAATAAACACATAAGGAAAAATGCAATTTCAGATCACTGCAAGGGGCATGAAGAAGGAGAAACCAGAGAGCAAAACGGAAAGGGATGGGGTAAGGAGAGCACACCAGCAACCAAGCTGACATCAGGGTGGAGAGAAAGGAGGAACTGGGCAGGAATCGGGAAGAGATTTGCTGGGAAGTGAAAGAGCCTCTGTAAAGGCCCTGGGGCAGTGGTGGGGAGGTAAAGTCATTGTGTAGCAGGGACAGAAAGAAGGCCAGAGAACAGTGGCTAGAGAAGACTAGAATGGGGAAAAGTGGAGAATGGGCTGGGCAGGAGGATGAGGGGGAACAAGTGGGAAATTTGAGTATTCTTGTTCCCACCTCAAGAGGGACTGGAATTGTGTTGCCGGCATTTGCAGACTCCTGTTTGTTTCTACCAGCAAACTGATGATATAGGAGGTGGACAGGGAAGTGCTGGGTAGAGAAGGGTGGGTCCCTTGCTGGGGCCCCACCCTTGGGCCTGTGCCCACAGACCTAGGTAAGGACAGACACTCCTGAATTTACACCCAAATGTTGCATTTTCTGAGACAACTCTGACCCACCACGCCCCCGACCCACCACACCCCCATCCTGTGTCTATAAAAAACCCGAGACTCTAGTGGGCACAGACACAAGTGGTCGCACTTGGAAAGGAACACACCAGCAGAAGAACACACTGACAGATATCAGCAGGCGCCGGCTGGCCATCTACAGTGAAAAGATGTGGAGTTCAGCTGAGGGCAGTCAGAGGAGAGTCTGACACTGAGCTGCCCGACTCCAGGGGAAAACTACCCTCCCACTCCATCCCCCTTCTAGCTCCCCATCCATCTGCTGAGACCTACTTCCACCACTCAATAAAAACTTGCACTCATTCTCCAAGCCCACGTAGAATGCAATTTTTCTGGTACACTAGGATACCGAAAGCCCTCTGTCCTTGCGATAAGGCAGAGGGTCTAACTGAGCTGATTAACACAAACCGCCTATAGATGGCAAATTTAAAGAGCGCACTGTAACACACACCCACTGGGGCTTCGGAGCTGTAAGCATTCACCTGTAGACACTGCCATGGGGTTGAAGCCCCACAACCTGCCAGTCTGCATGTTCCCCTAAAGGTCTGAGCAGCGGAGCACTGAAGAAGTGAGCCATACCCGCATCACATGCCCTACAGAGGAGATAAGGGAACTTTTTCCATTTTACTGGTAACTCTCCCACCTGGGGAAGAACCTCCTGTGCCAGATTGTATTTTCCAAAAATAGCCACAGCCATGTTTCTACTCCCACATGCTCTTTGAGACCCTCATCAATTGCCCCATCAAGAGGTAGAGTCTACATCCTCCCCACCACAAACTTAGGTGGGCCCACAAGACTTCCCCAACTCATAGAACACTGCAGAACTGACCCTGTGGGACTTCTAAGGCCAGGGCATAAATGGGGATACAGCTTTCATGGGGCTCCAGGGTAACTGCCCAGTGAGTTCACCTTGCCGGCTGCCTGGAAAGAGCCAATTTATCAAGACAGGGGAATCGCAATGGAGAAAGAGTAATTCATGCAGAGCTGACTGTGCGGGAGACTGGAGTTTTATTATTACCCAAATCAGTCTCCCTGAGCATTGGGGGATCAGAATTTTTAAAGAAATTTGGTGGGTAGGGGCTTGGGGAGTGGGCAGTGCTGATTGGTCAGGTTGGAGATGGAATCATAGGGGTTCAAAGTGAGGTTTTCTTTTCAGATGAAGTCTCGCTGTGACCCAGGCTGGAGTGCAGTGGCGTGATCTCTGCTCACCGCAACCTTTGCCTCCCAGGTTCAGGCAATTCTCGTGCCTCAGCTTCCCAAGTAGCTGGGACTACAGTTGCCAACCACCATGCCCGGGTAATTCTTTTTTTGCATTTTTAGTAGAGACAGGGTTTTGCCATGTTGCTCAGGCTGGTCTCGAACTCCTGACCTCAAGTGATCCACCCACCTCAACCTCCTAAAGTGATGGGATTACAGGCGTGAGCCACTGCACCCAGCCCAAATTGAAGTTTTCTTGCTGTCTTCTGTTCCTAGGTGGGATAGCAGAACTGGTTGAGCCAGATGATTGGTCTGCGTGCCGTTACCTGATTCATCCCGTGCAGGGTCTGCAAAATATTTCAAGCACTGATCTTAGGTTTCACAATAGTGATGTTATCCCCAGGAGCAATTTGGGGAGGTTCAGCCAGAGGCTCCATGACCCCTAAATTGTGATTTCTAATCTCGCAGCTAATTTGTTAGTCCTGCAAAGGCAGACTGGTCCCCAGGCAAGTAGGGGGTCTTTTCAAGAAAGGGCTGTTATCGATTTTGTTTCAGAGTCAAACCATGAACTGAACTCCTTCCCAAAGCTAGTTCAGCCTGCGCCCAGGAATGAACAAGGACAGCTTAAAGGTTAGACGCAAGATGGAATCGGTTAGGTCTGATCTCCTTCACGATCATAATTTCCTCAGTTATTTTTACAAAGGCGGTTTCACCAGGGCATGTAATAAATCCAGGGTGTCTTAGCAGAGTTGGCAGCTGTGATTTTCTCCTTCTGTTCCCTACCGTCCTGCCATCATGGGATCCCCTTAGATAGGTAGAACTAACTCCCCAGAAGGTGTTTAGAAAGTAATTCTCATTAAGCCAATGATAGTAGAACCACAGGACATGTTTTATGCAGACATTAGGAAGGCTGCTCATTAAAAAGCATTTGAGTGGTGTGGTTTTTAATGATCTGGGAGAGTTCCTTGATATAATGTTGGGATAAAGTAATCAAAATGTATGGTTGTATTCATAGAATAAGCCTCATTACTTATTTAAAGCATAGAAAAAAGACAGAACTTACTGTAACCGGGGGAGCGTCCCCAGCTCCAGTTCAGAAGAGGTTATTGGCCTCTCTTACCCAGAAGAATGCAGAAAGGGGCCGGGCACGGTGGCTCACGCCTGTAATCCCAGCACTTTGGGAGGCCGAGGTGGGCGGATCATGAGCTCAAGAGATTGAGACCATGGTGAAACCCTGTCTCCACCAAAAAATACAAAACTTAGCTGGGCGTGGCGGCGCGTGCCTCTGGTCTCAGCTACTAGGGAGGCTGAGGCAGGAGAACTGCTTGAACCCAGGAGGCGGAGGTTGCGGTGAGCCAAGATCGCACCACTGCACTCCAGCCTGGCAACAGAGCAAGACTCTATACGCAATGGTTGTCAAACTTGTGGGGACGAAAGCATTACCTGGAGGACTGAGTCGCACCCTAGAGTCTCAGAGGGAGGAGGGAGGAGTTGGGGCCCAGGAATCTGCATTTCTGACAACCTCCTAGGAGATGCTGCCACAGCTGAGGACTGCTGAGCCAAAGGTTAGCAGTTTCTTCTGGTATTGTGCTTTTGCCTCGCCACTATTTTCCTTGTTACGTTCTCTGAATTTTCCAAATTTCCTACAATGGTGGTCTGTTAGATGTGCAATCAGAAATGAAAACAAGATCAGGCAGGCCGGGCGTGGTGGCTCACGCCCTTAATCCCAGCACTTCGGAAAGTTGCGGTGGGTGGATCCCTTGGGGTCAGGAGTTGGAGACCAGCCTGGAGCCTGGCCAAAATGGTGAAACCCCATTTCTACTAAAAAAAAATACAAAAAGTTAGCCAGGCGTGGTGGTGGGTGCCTGTAATCCCAGCTACTGGGGAGGCTGAAGCAGGAGAATGGCTCGAACTCGGCAGGCAGAGATTGCAGTGAGCTGAGATGACGCCATTGCACTCCAGCCTGGGTGACAAGAGGAAGACTCCATCTCAAGAAAGAAAAGAAAAAAAAAAAACAAAAGAAAAGAGGAAGGAAGGAAGGAAGGAAGGAAGGAAGGAGGGAGGGAAGGAAGGAGGGAAGGAAAGAAAGAGGAAAGAAGAGGGGAGGGGAGGGGAAGGGGGGGAGGGGAGGGCCAGGCATGGTGTCTTACATCTGTAACCCCAGCACTTTGGGAGGCTAAGGAGAGAGGATCCCTTGAGGCCTAGATCCTAATACCAGCCTGGACAACATAGCAAGACCCCATCTCAACAACAACAACAACAAAAATGTTTTAATTAGCCAGGCGTGGTAGTGTGTGCTTGTAGTCCCAGCCACTCAGGAGGCTGAGGCAGGAGGATGGCTGAAGCCCAGGAGGTGGAGGTTCCAGTGTGCTATGATCATGCCCGCTGCACTCCAGCTGCAGGGACAGAGCGAGATCTGGCCTCTAAAACAAAGACAAGCAAATTTTTAGATGAAATATTGAGAATGGGGCCAGGGGAATGAATTAAGAGGCACAAAAGGCTTGTGAAGGGGTTTGGGCTGAGGCTCCCATTGCAGTTAGAAACCCTAAATGTGTGATTGAGGCAGTCAGCCTGCTTTTGGCATTTCCCCGCTGCGTGTACCTGTAGCCCAGGAGTCTGCAGAGAATGAACTATCGCGAATTAGAGTCTCCGTTAGGGAGCACCAGGTAGACCCAGAAAGCCCTCCTTCCAGCTGTCCTTTTGCCATCCAAAGGAGAGGGGGGTCGTCTTGAGTGCACTGGGGAGACAGCAATGAACAAGACCAACATCTGTGCTTCCTGAAAGCCTTGGAGAGAGAACCCCCCCACGGACAGCCCCTTTTTTTTCTTTTTTTTTTTTTTTTTTTTTTGAGATGAGATGCTGATTGAAGAAGAGTTGCAGCTAATGATGGAGGGAGCGTTGGGCTGAGGACGCTGGAGCCAGAAGGTGCTAACAGACCGAGCAGAGCGGAAGACATCACGCACGCCGAGGTGCAAGAGCAGGCTCAGGGATCTGTGGCGGGGCACCTGGGAGGCACCTACCCTGTCTCCATCCCCTCCTTGCTCCTCCAAACCCCAATTCCAACCACGCCAACCCCCCAGCAGCTCCCTCCAGAGACAGCCTAGCTGATGGCTGTTACCCTTTGAGAGCGTGGCTGCCAATGCTTTCACAGTCTCCTACTTGATTAACGGAGCTGCATGGAGGCCACTGAGGCTTGGAGCTCCCCAGCCTTCAGGGGTGAGGACAGCTGGAAGGAGGGAAGGGAACAAGACGCCAGGAGAAGAGGCATCTGGCCCAGGGAGCTTAGCTGCAGCAGCCACCCCAGATTCTTCCGCTTGTCCCTCACCACACCAGAGGTGGATTTCAAGGTCCACCTTTTATTCTGGGAGGCTTTGGGACAGAGCAAGAGAAGAAGTTAGGCAGTGGTTCCCCAATTACAATTACACAGTGCAACAGAACCCCCTGGAAGGCTTGTTAAAACCAAGCCTTCCCCTGAGACTTTCTGATTCCATGGGTCTGGGGTGCAGCCTGAGAACCGGCATTCTAACAAGTTCCAGGCGATGCTGCAGCTGCCAGCTCTGCACTTAGGGAACGAGAACTATGAAGAGAGGCTGCTGGCCAGGTGCAGCAGCTGACGTCTGCAAATCCCAGGACTTTGGGGAAGCCAAGATGGGAGGATCACTTCAGGCCAGAAGTTCGAGACCAGCCTGGGCAACATAGCAAGACCCCATCTCTTCAGAAAGTACAAAAATTAGCCAGGCATGGTGGTGCGTGCCTGTAATCTCAGCTACTTGGGCGCTTGAGCCCAGGAGGTTGAGGCTGCAATGAGCTGTGGGTGCCCCACTGCACTCCAGCCTGGGCAACAGAGCAAGACCTTGTCTCAAAAAAAAAAAAAAAAAAAAAAAAAAAAGAGTGGTGGCTGTCCCTGGAGGAATTCTCTCTCTTCAAGGCTTCTTTCGGGAAGTGTGAATGTTTCTCTTGTAAATTGCTCTCTCCCAAGTGCCAGTTACACAATAGGTCCTCAACAAAGATCTGCTGAATTGACACATCCCTGCATAAGAAAATTCACGGCCGGGTGTGGTGGCTTATGCCTGTCATCCCAGCACTTTGGGAGGCCGAGGCGGACGGATCACGAGGTCAGGAGTTTGAGACCAGCCTGACCAACATGGTGAAATCCCATCTCTACTAAAAATACAAAAATTAGCCAGATGTGGTGGCGCACACCTGTAATCCCAGCTACTTGGGAGGCTGAGTCAGGAGAATTGCTTGAACCCGAGAGACGGAGGTTATGGTGAGCCGAGATCGCATCGCTGCACTCCAGCCTGGGTGACAGAGCGAGACTCCGTCTCAAAAAAAGAGAAAAGAAAATTTGGGCCACAAAGCTCAAGATGGCCCCCACCCCACTTTGGATGGTAAAAGGGAACTTGGAGACAGAGAACCAGTCCCTCCACCCAATTTTATTCCTCAGCTGCGGACACTGGGTTCAGCTCAAAGAATATGTGTCCCCACCCCAAACCCCTTCCTCCTTTTATCCCCTGAGCCTGGAGCTGCCTCATTGACATGCGGCCGGCGCAGCTGCTGGGCTTGCTTCTGGATCACCGAGAAACAGGTCCGATTTGAAAATGTCAGGATCTCGTTAGCAATTCCAGTGGCCGCAGCGGTAATGACTCCTTTTCATGTTCCTGCGTGTTATACCGCATGAAAACTGACACAGACGCCTGGTTTTATAATATCACGGCCTGGAAATAAATGTCCAAAATGATATGAAAATGTACTAGGAAGAGATTAATAACTGGTCTTCCAGGAAGAAAGATAGCCCTTTTCAACCAGTATATTATATATTTTTTCCTCTTAAAAAAGCCTCTCTGATAGCATCTCTCCTTGAGGGGAACTGAATTATATTATCACTCACAGGCGGTAATCAGGTCTGTCAGCTGCAGGGCTGAGCCTCTCAAGGCAGGAGAGGAGTGGGAGGCATTGGAGGGAGAGAGGTCCAGAAGGAGGGCCCTGAAAGGGGCGCTCCTGACCTCATCCATCCCCAACCCAGAGCTTTTTTTCCAAAGTAGGCAAAACCGGTATTGGCTGTTGTATAAGCACCTTTCTGCAGCAAGGAGAGGTTAGATAGAAGCAAAGTGGCATCTATAATGTATACCTGGGAAGACCCTGACTGGCCATGTGGGAGAGCTTTCCTCTCTAACATCATCTTTTTTTTTTTTTTTTTGAGATGGAATCTTGCTCTGTCACCCAGGCTGGAGTGCAGTGGCATGATCTCGGCTCACTGCAACCTCCGCCTCCATGGTTCAAGTGATTCTCCTGCCTCAGCCTCCTGAGTAGCTGGGACTACAGGTGCGTGCCACCACGCCCAGCTAATTTTTTTTTTTTTTTTTTTTGTATTTTCAGTAGAGACAGGATTTCATCGTGTTAGCCAGGATGGTCTTGATCTCCTGACCTTGTGATCAGCCAGCCTCAGCCTCCCGAAGTGCTGGGATTACAGGAGTGAGTCACCGCGCCCGACCGACTGACCCTCTTAAGAGTCAAGCCAGGCTGGGCACAGCGGCTCACACCTGGAATCTCAGCCCTTTGGGAAGCTGAGGCGGGAGGATTGCTTAAGGCCAGGAGTTTGAGACCAGCCTGGGCAACATAGCAAGAACCCCCGCCCCCACCACTGTCTCTACAAAAAAAGAAAAAAAAAATCATCAAACGGCAGAAGGGGAATGAAAGTGGGGCCCAACTCCTGCTATCAGGGGCAGCGAAGAGCTCTGCCTGGGACAGTGGATTGAGGTCAAGAAGGAAGGCTCTGAGCCTGATGACCAGTGTAAATGACAGCCCAGCCCCTGGGGAACTGATTCTAAAGGTCCCAGCTCTCATAACACCTTCAATGTTTTTAACCATCTCTGTGCATGCATCCTCACAGGCACCACAGGAAGGGAAGCCCACTGTTTCCTCACTCTCCCAGCTTTGGCTGTGTACAAACACACACAAAAACACACATGCACACACAGATGCACACACTCTCATCTGCGCACATACACACATGAACGTACAATACACACATGCATACACACATCCACATCCACATATTCACACACGCATATACACACATTCACACACAATACACACATACATATATACACTCACACACACACATATATACATGTATACACTCATATACACACATACATACACACACAAGTATAAAATACATACAAATTTACATATGCACACATGCATATATACACATTCACATACAATACACACAGGCACACACATACATACTCAAATTCACATATACACACATGCATACACATTCACATACAATACACACAAATATACACACATGCACACATATACATACACATCCATGAATTCACACATGCACACATGTATATATTCACATACAATACACACAAACACATACACACATTCATATATGCATGCATGCAATATATACACATTCACATACAATACACAC